AAAAAGTTATATATGGATAAATGAGATATACATATGATATAAATGATATATGACATATTTAAAATTTAGGACATATTTTATACCTACACAAACAATACACACTTATACTAAATAATACATATTTTTTGAAAATAATTGATTACCCACAATATACCATCTAAACCCCTAATTCTTGATTAAGACGTTAATTTTCAAAAAAAGGGACAAAGGGGAACCACATGGCAAGTCTGGATTTAGCTTAATCAGGATAAAAACAGCAGTGCCTATTAGCAATGAGACTATATAAACTACGAATGGTAGAAATGGCAAACAACTTAAATAAGCCCTATTAATTTACCATAGTACATACCTCTGGTATTTCAAATCGTATTTTAAACTCAATCACATTTTTTGAAGAATCCTGTTTTTGTAACTTTCTGTGTTGAATATTTTTAACTCCAGTTGGAAATTGAATAGACTCTTCCAAGGGACTACATGGTGCATCAAAATATTCCTCCTCTGATTCTAAATTTCATAAACATTGTTTAAGTCAATAATAAAAGTTTGATTTAATAACATTTTTATTATTTTTCTGAAATAAATATGAACATTAAAACCCTAAGGGGTACATTACAAAAACAATATAAACATGAGGATTAAAATAAATAGAAATGAATATAGAGACTACTGTACTTTGAAACAAATAAGATTTCTCATGACAAAAAATATGGAAAATTATAAAATGTAACCTTTAGCTAAAAGAAATCATTAGTCTATTTTTAACTTACTTAAGAAAATTTTGCAGCAAGTAACAATGCCAATGATTGTACACATCATGAATACTCAAAGTAACATGTTAATATGTTCACTCTACCTGCATGGTATAACAAAACTTACCTATTAGTAGCAGAGGGCAGGCCCTGTAGTTTGAATGAACTAAGCTGAGATCAAGCACGATATACACACACACACACACACACACACACACACACATTTATTTGTATATAATAAATACTTATATATATGTATATGCACACTTCTAGAATTTGATATTAAAAAGAAACAAAAACTGGAAAAACATTCAACCACTTAGTAAAACCATCAAAAAGAGATTTAAAGGAAACTAAAATGAACTGAAGTATATTCCAAATAACTTAAGATTAAAGTTAGAGTAGGTGACCTTGCAAACAACATTTCTTTGGTCACCACACACAAAGGAAAACATTTTCTGGAAAACCGAGAATCAGCATGGCAGCTTCTGTTATTAAATATTTAGCAATTTTAAAAGTCTTAAAATACAGAAATACATTTATTTTTTCTTTCCACTGTGGCCGTAAAAAGCAGATATTTGATATCAGAATATGAATAAGTTTTTATGTGTAAATATAGGTATTAAGAATTGACTTTTTTCCTTTAATTTTAGTAAAATAGACTATGTAAAAAAAAAAGTTTTAAAATTTATTATCGCAAAATTCTCCAAACACCTAAATAACACATTAGAAATTAGACATCTACAAAGTCTTGTTAGGTTTCTTAGCTTGCAGCCAAATAAAATCCTGCTGCAATAGCAACTTTAAGGAACGTCCAAATTGTATTATTTTAAAGTAATTTTAGCAAAAATTTCTTGAAAATATACAAATACCTGCTAATGACTGAAAATTTTTATATGAATATAAAAGACCAGAATATGCCACTCCAAAATGCGTCTTTTTGGCATAAGGATTATTTTGAGTTAATTACGTTGAGAAAAATCAGTTACAAAGCTCTGAAGACAGAGCATAAATTTCCTTTTTGTGAGGGAAATTAACACTCATAAAAGAAGTCTACTTTGTAAGGGTGTCTCTCTCTATATACCAGGAAGGATGACTCTAAATCGTAAGGCATTCTTAACTAAGGAGAAGATACTGACTTAAATATGCATAACAAACCTTACCCCTGTTTACCATACTGTTCCCAATGCCCATAACTTGCCTTCTTCCTGTCCCCATCCTAGAATTCCCAAACCCAAATCCTTTGTTTAAGTCCGAATTGGCATAGAAACCCAAGTTTTTATCACCCCTTTGAGTTAGTCATCCCTGAGTTTCTCCCATGTACATGTGAGATGTAAATGTTAATAAATTTCTATTTGTTTTCTCTTGTTAATCTATCTTTCCTTACAGAGCGCCAGCAAAAAACCTAGAGGTTAAAAGAAAAGATACCTGCCCTCCCCATGTGGTCACTTGAGGAAAATATGCCTCAAAATGGAAATTATCTTAATAACATATGTACAATAAGAAAAATTTCCTTAAACAGTTTTATTTTACCATCTTCAGTAACAGACGGAAGTTCCAAGAGAGGAATTACTTTCTGTGAAAACTGTGATGGTCCCAAAGAAGTAGATGTTTGAGTCTGGAAAAAAAAAAATTCACTATTATCACAAAGACTTCTATTCAAAATTCTAAGACAATTTTGACAAAAAGCCACTTTGAAAACTAACTGAGAAGATATCAGGTCTGAATTAGAAAAGTAAATTATAAACGTAGATTTAAAGAGGTTGCTTTACAATTTTAAGGACAAATTATAAACTGTAGAACTGTTACAATAATTTCCACAATGATAGGCTTAGAGTAGAAAGAGATGTCAGACATATTTTAACTCAATATCTTACTAAATAAAGAAATCGCCTCCAGGATATCCCTGAGAAACAACTACAAGTTCCAATATTTAAAGCTTCTAGAGTGGGGAGCTTACAGTTTAATTTTTAATTTTTTAAAGATATCACAATAAATTTACTTTTTACTGTTTGGGGAAATATAACATAAAAACATGTAACACAGTTTAAAAAAGTAATAATTAAGGACACTCCT